GTCACTTTGGTAGGGGTTTTGATTAGTTGAGTTAAAGCCATAATTAGATGTAACAAAAAGTTATTCGAATGAAAATGGCATTGAAACCATTAGCATCATAGTTAAAACACCAAGCAGGATACGTCCATTAGTATGACTTAATGCTTAGATTACAACCTTTTCAAACTCCTCTATAAAAATTAGTCCTGTTTGGTGGTCTATAAAAAGACCCCATCAAGACTGGAGATTTGTGTGAGCTCTGAATCTCGATCCATACATTTTCCAAGGTTTTAGATTCCAAGTCGTATCTTCTTGTAAAAATGAGTTTATTCCAAACATAAACGTCAACCCTACCGACTGGCAGTTGGGCAGTCATTTCTAAAATTTCGGAAGCTGTCGATAAGTAATTCTGAATCGTTAACTGAGGAGTCACAGAATGTTTTATTCAGAGAGATGACATCAAGTGGCTTGTTTTTTTTACCAAGATTCGGAATTCATCAGTTTTGCTTATTTGACTATAAATATTCAAATGAGCAAATTTGATTCCTTTTCCATTCAGGAGAGGAATATACTGCCATTTGAAAGTTCTAGTATTTGGTGGCTTTTCTTATCACGATGAGGGTTGTTTGGCTCTCTGGTACCTGCGCTCTCTGCTGGTATCGGAACCATTCTGTTGCTTGTGACAGCAGTGGGTGATAATATCATTGATACAATGGTAAACGTTTTGAGTGCACTACGAAAGATTCCTGAATTATTTTCAATTTTAACACGAATTCCTCAGAATGATAGTACAATTTCCTCCTCAAACATAGTGAGCTTTATTCCTATTTTCGATTTAAATAACCACTGAATGATTCTATTTACGGTAAATTGTCTGCTTGACGATGTTTGAATAAAGAGTGAAATATCAAATCAAACATGGCTAATATAACAGTCTTTTTGGAGCCTGCTAATATAATAGTCTTTTTGGAGCCTGCTAATATAATAGTCTTTTTGGAGCCTGCTAATATAATAGTCTTTTTGGAGCCTGCTAATATAATAGTCTTTTTGGAACCTGCATAATATCGAGGTGTCTGTTGTTCTGTATTGATTGTGCAGGTGCGCGCATGTCATTTGCATCACAGGAGGACTGCATTAAACACGGTCTTATTTTCACTTTGTAAACGAGTTGAAAAAGAAGCATGACGTATAACCAATTCCTAAACGTCAGTCTAACTGCCATCACATAGTCTATTAATATTATGAATTACTTTGTTAATATCACTGAGCAGACCCAACTGCAATTCCAATCTGGGTAACAGATGTGGAACAGAAAGAAAACATCCTTGCTGTAATTTGTCTCACCTGAGACATCCTATGACCAACGTTGTCTTTGAATTATGCAATTATTTGGAAGAACTCTGTACAGGAATTAAAACTCTGGATTACACGTACTACATGTATATATGATGCCACATTTGAGATAACTTATTAGAGATGTATCCCTAACTTCCAGTTGAACTGCATTTGATATGTTCAAAATTTCACGACAGCACTCCATTATTTCAGTGGTTTGCTTATAATTATCGTATCGCAGTCGTTAATCAGCAGGATCTCATCTCCACTTTTCTCAGAGCATGCGCTGCTCGCCAGGTACTCCAGCACCTGCTGCTTCAAATCCTTGGCCGCCGACTCCTTGAACCTTGTCACGTGGTTTAGGAAATCCAAGACCATGCTACCTTCCTCTGAGGCATCATCGAAGCAGCTGGTGATGTTCACACGAGACCACTCGTGGTGCTGCGAGTACGGTATACCGTGGCGGTCTAGGATGCTGCGAACATCGGCTGAAGTGATGAAATTGTACTTGCTGTGGAAATAAGGCGCAAAGTGATTCCAGTACCGGACGAGTCCACTATCGTCTGAAAAGCAACCAAGCAGCAAAATTCTCTGTAAGGGTTCGATATAAGGAAGTGGGAGCTCGTTCTGGGGAAATGCTAGGTTTGGGGAAAGGCAACACCTCATGGACATTCCAAAAAATTTCTACAGTTGGGGACAGGCCTGGTGCCGGACAGGCACCGGCTCCCTGGTTGACGCTGCCATAAGGATAATGCTGCCTCATAGACTGCTACAGTTCATAGTTGTCACCGCTTTGCTCATTTTAAAACGGAAGGTTGGTCAAAGAAACTACCACCATAGAGGATTACAGTTGCAACAAACAACAAATGCTAGTTAAGCATTCACGCTAAGCTACCGGTAGCTATTCATACATTCAAGTTCCATGTAGTTTCCGACTCGTGAAGCATGGGGGAACGGAGGGTATGCATCCCCCAACTTTTTGAGGTAGGGGTGAATTGGGAGCTGTTGAATCACACCCCCACAACACACACTTTTCAGTGAGAAAAAAAATTAAAGCAGATAGTGAAGAAGTTTTCAGACTTCCAACGACTACATTCAATATCACTCAAAAAAGGGAAAACAATTTTAGAAGCCATAAATATTGAACTCTTAATACAAATTACATATGTACGTCAATATCATGAACATCAACCTCAGAGTCATATGGGGTCCCCCCACTTTTCAACTTTTCATGGTTGGGCAAATAACCCCCCCCCTTTCCCCATCCCTCCGTCCCACAAATTTACGCCACTAGTCAAGAAGTCTTTTGTGTACAATTTGAATGTAAAGACGGAATACATGTAATAGCATTTGAACAGACAACACTTGATTGTAACATGGGCTAAATTTTGGGGGATATATTGTTTTTCCGTTTCCGTGTTTCCGTTTTTTAAATACTTTTTTAAAAATACTGTCAATCGATCCCCACGGACATTTCCGTTAGAAAGAGCTATTTGATTATTACACTCGTAAGAGAAAAGTATACCTGACTTCATATCAATGAATATAACCCCACCAGGTTCCAGTATGCTGTGCAGATACATCAGTGAGTCTTCCAAGTTGTCAAAGTAGTACACAGAATGAACTGCAACAATGAAGTGAAACTTAGTAGGCTCTTCCACCTTCTCGTATTCCTCGATCGTCTGCTGTCGCCATTCGAAATTCACACCTCGTAAATCAGAAGTCTTGGATTTCGTCAATGCCTGGTATTTGACGAGCTGCTCCTGAAGGGGCTCAACTGCACGGATGTTGATGCGCGGGAAGTGTTGTAAAAGTTTGATCAACATCTTGCATTCTCTCTCACCTTAAAAATACGAAAACAAAATACATAGGCTATAGTACCATTATACAATATGATATCTGAGGCAGATCACGGATAATATCTCGCTATAGAGTCATATGTTTTTCATGATATCGTATTATTTTTCTGTATACCTCCTTCCCTTGTAAAGCGTTTGTGAATTTATCCTCAATTGACAAGGATAAAAATCGACGATATTTCAGTTCTGGAAATTGTCAATTTCTTTTTCAGTATTCGCAAAAGTGCTCATGCCCTAAACGGTTCCTTTGTCCAAGTTTACGCTCGTTGAAATGGTGAAAACATGGTGGATGATACAACAGTATTGATTCAACAAAAAAACGACTCTAAAAGTTAAACACATGTCTATGTAATATTTTATAGAATCATCCTTTCGACAATAAAAATGTTCATGGCTGCTAGTTTGTTAAAAGAGAGATGTTAAAAAATATTGGCCGACGGCACCCGCAATTATCTGAACTGGTGGTCAGTTTCCGCAAATTGTTACGATTTGTGAAGTAGTTCGTATCGTTCATAAATAATCTTTGAAGTTTATATTCTTGGCCGACGTTTCAGCAAGAGCTAGGCAGTGTCCTTTTGCTTACAAGATTTTGTTTTTGTGAGCACACACCTGAGTTAAATTTTTCGTTTCTGCACACCTACATGATAACTGTTCTGACCTTGGGGATTACCTAGAACTCGGCGTCATCGCCGTATCAAGCTTATCTGTGAAAACCGTCCACTTTTAGGCCAAGCATGTTAGAACTTTAAAATGCTTCTCTATGAACGATAGCATACAGTTTGATGTGCTTCTCTGTCAGAACATTTTCTGAAACTCCAAAGTCAGTTTGGTAAAAAACCAAAAATCAGGTGAAGCTGGAGACACAGACATGTGTCCAGTTTATGCATGTATTTCTATCTCAAATTTGTGAAACATCTATTGCAGAACAAGCATATCTATCACTACTCCCGATCAGCAAAGATTATACATGTATGATACAGTGTATTATGTGGATGTGTCTTATGTAAATGTGTATTATGTAAAAGTGTAATATGTAAATGTTTCTTATCCACTACGTATTTGGGTTTTAGCAAATTCGTTTTTTTTTTCAGGAGGTGAGTGTTATAAATTAATTCCCGCCATTACTTGTTGTTATGCAGTGTGTCAATTTTGTTATAATGTTATAGTTGCTGAAATAAAATGCGTGCATAATGACCTCAGAAAACAACTTAACATAAAGAAACAGACAAAAAAAGGAAGTGGCTGGAATGCACCATAATGTGCCTTTTTCTTTTTCTTTTTAGATTAAAACAGGCACACGATATTAATGACCAGTCTGTTCGTTGATTGATGGGATTGCTGGGGGATTGATTAATATCGGAGTGTGATCGATCAAGTGATGTTTCGGTTGGTCAGTTGCGATCGACTGACTGAGTGACTCTGACAGACTGGTTGATTAGTGGATTGGTTGACATAAAATGTAAACTGGGGTCACTAAACACAATTAAATTACTACAAAACCAATAGGTGATTCGGACTGAGCCCAATGACCTAACAAATCACTCTTACCGGATCCACTACCAACTCCCATCACGCGAAGCTCTCCCTGCTCGTCAAGCGCACTCTTTAATTTTGAGACCACGGTCTGCTGGAAGATGGTCTCTTCCCATTGGTCATACTCAGGGTATTTAATGCACGCAGCACGGAATGCGTGCAATGACTGCAAGTAGTACTTGGCGTCACCATGAAACAAACTCGGCAGATAATGTTCCATTTCTATCCTTGCTAAGATTGAATGGACGGTGACCCCTCGACATAGGAAGATAGCTGCGTAGTGCGAGAAAGAGACAAACATTACTGCACATCCACTTATACAACCGTCGTTATTAAGTGGAAACTAAAGCGCCAATTTCAATTACATACATGTAAGCGTCACATACTGTAATGCCTGTAATGTCAACCGCCTCTACGGGTCTTTCTCTCGTAAACAAAGACATATTTGAAGGCTTCTGCTCAGATTATTATTTATTTGGCATAAAAAAACAATAACAAACAATACTACCCACTAGTTAAGACATGGACAAAACAGCACCTGCAGCAAATGCCGGGATAAGAAAAATTCAACTAAATGACTGTTTTGGGGGATCTCGGCCGTTTATTTTCACACCGTCACTCCTGTCTGGCATAAACTCCCAAACCGACCCAAAACAATTTATGACTCAAAAAGCGCGGCTGTTCAGGCGCCGCGGCAACGGATCTCTAGGCATAACCAGTAGGGGCCCTCCACACGGCTCTACCGTAGTGCATGATCTCTGTGGGCTCTACCGTGGATCCGTCCTGGCGCCCCCACTGGTCATCTGGTACCGGTGCTCCACCACCCCCTTCGGGGACTCGTGTTCGTCCCCCAACAAGGCGGCGAGCACCAGCCACCGGTTTCTGGCAGAGGTCCTACCCGCTAGCACCGACTTTTACATAAAAGAGGAAAATCGGATGAGAACTTATCATTAATTGAGAAACCAACGATGCTGAGGTAGAAATTTGGGCGTCGAAGTACAACGCTGCTGGATGGCGGCTGCCGCTAGACTTCCGTTTGCCGAATGAGTTCCTCCCAGAAACGGCGGAGGAGGCGTTCTCCATAAAACAAGGCATGGGTTGGGTCGCTCCGCGTGGAAGCTTCTGCAGGAGGGGTTTGGACATCCTAGTCCTCGTCATCCGGTATGCCCATCGGTGGGAGCAGCTCCAGGCGATTTCCACTGTAGGTCATTGTGTTACGGGGTTAGTAACGAATTGGCTGAACGGCTAAAGCGGCTGGATTCCGTGTTTATCAACCAAGCTAGCACGGCAACAACACTTCAACTGCCAGCAGCCGTCGCGTGGGTTGATACTGTCCCATTTCCCATCCGTGGTTCAGTTTCCATTTCTGATGGAAATTCAGCCACCACCTCCGATGCCTCTACAGAATCACCGTCCATCATTCCCATCATCAAGAGAAAACACATCGATCTTCCGGTTCTTTATGTACGGACCAGCTGTGCTTTATTGACTCCCGTGTGGAGCACCTCTGCCGGCTCCGCATCTCTGCCGGCTCCGCACCATTGACTTGTGCGAGGAGCCGAGTGGCTCCATTCACTCCGGTGTGATGCACCCCGGCCGGCTTCGCGCAATTGATTCCGCGCGGAGCCCCTCCTTTCGCTCTGCGCCATTCACTTTCCTGAGTGGCAATTCCACGGGCTAAGCCTCCAGGACTTTTGCAGCGTGAACTAGCTCCGAATGGAGGCTATAGGCTTCGACACACTGTTAGTTGGAGGACTTAAGTGCTGCCGGGAGAGGCCCTTTCTGTCTGCCGTATATGACGTGTGTTGTTGGCTGTCTTTTACATGGGTTCCCGCTCCTGCTACAGGGGCCGTCACACCAAGTGTGGAAGACTGATGTCCTATTTACATCAAGGGGTTGTTCCTTGTGAGTCCAGGCACTTGTAGTTCTAAAGTGGAAACTGTTGGAGTCCAAATGTCTGCCATGTTGCCGTCTCCAGCACGGGACGGTCCCCCCTGGGTCCTGATATTTGTTGTGGTGTGAGAAACGATCGAGGGGAGTCTCAGGATGAAACCTCGCCCCCGTTGCAACGACACGCACAGCTACTTCTGACTGGAACGGTGGGTCTGCTGTGCTCCCGTCTTCAACATGGGGCAGTTCCCCGTGGGTCCTGACACTAGGTGAACCCACAGAAACATCGTTGAGTGTCCTAAAACTAAGCCCCGCTCCTGCTGCTGAAAGGTTTAACTCAACAATGCCCCGACTGGAACATAATTAAGTCTGCTTCGCCGCTGTCTACAGCATAGGGCAGTTCTCTTGGGGACACAATACGTACTTTGTTGGTGCAGACAATGCATGGTATGTCGCTCAACCCGTCTGACGTGGCTCACTGTCACTGCTCCCTTCCCGCCCACATCTGGATCTGGATAAATACTCTGAGACGCTCTTAATGAGCATCACTCAGAACAGAACTGGGGGTTGTTTATTCCAGCTGCAGATGGTTTTGCATTGCTGTTTTGAAGCTAGATAACTGCACCACAGAAGTCATGTGTTTTGGCAGCTTATTCCAATCTCTTGCCATCTTAGGAGAGAATGAATATGGCATTGTGACACAGACTGTGGGATGACAAGTTGATTTGTCTTGCAGCTCCTAGTGCTCATTCGTGTGGCAGATGATGGAGGTTCTTGCATATCAAGGAAATCTCTTATGTCCAGGTCAACACTGTGATGAATGATTTTTTGCAAAATGACTAAGCTGCTGTACCGTCTTTTCTGCTGCAAGAGGGGAAGTTTAGGCTTTTTTAGGACTGCTGTAACAGAGCTGGTCTTACTATAATCTTGAATGATAGTACGCACTGTCCTGCGCTGGACAGCCTCAATCTTGTCGATGTGTTTCTTTGCATGCGGAGCCCATACAGAGCTACAGTACTCAAGGTGGGGTCGAACCAGTCTCTTGAAAGCTTGGGCTTTTACATGGACTGGAGCATTACTCGGGTTTCTACGAAGGAACCCGATGACACTATTGACTTTCGCTGTGACAATATCTATATGCCTTATACTGATTCCAAATCATGTCAGATGAAAGGGTAACACCAAGGTATCTTTATGATAATTTGTTCCTGATAGCTTATGACCAGACAGTGAATAAATTTAATGAGTTGGAGACCATTTTCTTGTGAACAGGATGATGCTACATTTCTCAGGTTTGAAGTTCATCTGCCAGGTCCTTTCCCATTTTTCTAGCTTATGGAGGTCTTTGTGGAGGGCAAGGCAGTCGTTTCTATCTTAAATAGGACGATAGATTAAGCAATCATCTGCAAACAGGAAAACCTAGGAAGGTTGTTTATGTAATACAGGAAAAAGAGTGACCCCAGCACTGTGCCCCGTGGAGCACCTGAGGCTACATTAACCGGATTGGACGATTTTACCCTGAACAACTGTTTGTTCACGTTATGTGAGAAAATCTGAGCAACACAGACCATAAAATTTCATTTTGTGAAACTGTATCAAGTGCTTTTGCGAAATCTAAAATGACGGCATCTACTTGCTTGACTTTGTCTGCACCGCTACAAATGTGATGAATGGTAGAAAATAGTTGGGTTTCGCAGGAGCAATGCGACCTGAAACCATGCTGGTGGTCGCTCAGGATATTAAATCCCTCAAGATGATTGACATGAAGATAACATGACGGTAACATGACGGTAAATGATGTGTTCCAATGACTTGCAGATCATTGATGTGAGCGAAACTGGTTTTACAGAATAAAACTCTCTTGCCCGAGCTCCTTGAAAAAGGAGTCCAGTTCGTCAAAAGTGATGCGGTTTGTTTCCACAAGGCTGGTCCTTAAACGAATCGAGTTCATCAAAAGTGATGGACGGTGTTTTCCCATGCCCATTAGGCTGACCCACAATCTCCAAGGCCCTATCTATCCCTGCTGAGTGACGAGTCGGATGCAAGACCATCGTGACGGGGGTGGACATGCCGAAAAATACAATGAGAAATATTCATCTGTCTTCTCCGTCAGGTAGTTCCACTGCTGCCACCACAGACGTATATAAAAAACCTGGACCTGCAACGCCTTTGCCACTGTATGAAATGGAAGCCAACCAACCGCCATTTTATCGAGCCGAATAAAAATGCACGGGTTGGCTCGCTTCTATTGTCGCCAGGGAGAACAAAGGCGGGCATTACCGGGAAAGCTTTGCATTCGGCTAGATAAAATGGCTGCCAGTGGATTCAATGATCTCTATTAGCTGATTAAGGGCATTGCGAGTCCAGATTTTTTTTTACATACGTCCGTGGCTGCCACCAGTAACGTCAGTTGTCTCTATGGGTCTTCCTCACTTCTGCTCAAGTTTTTGTGGCTCACGGCCGTTTATTTTCACCGTCACTCCCGTCTGGCATAAACTCCAAACACACCCATAAAATGTGACTCGAAATGCTACTGCGCTGGCGCTGCGGCAACGGGTCTCCAGGGCTGACCAGTAGGGGCTCACCACACGGCTCTACCGAGGATCCTATTCAATGTACATTCGAGGACTTTGTATGTTGGGCCTAATTACTAGTGTGACAAAAATCACTCTGCATTCCAATAATTCCAGAAATTAGTCAAATGTCTTACTGTAGAAATTGATCTTCAATTTCCTATACTAGAAACACATTCTTGAAGGGTGTCTTAGCCGTGGCAACACTTACCGACTTTTCAGGCACACCAGGACACATCCCAGATGATTGTATAAATTCTTGAAAGTACGTATTTATCTCGCAGTGATGGAGAATTTCCTTTAGAGTTGTTGTTTCTTTACAGATTCTATCGACAGTGGTTTTACATAACGCAACTGGCTAATGGCAGAAATGTGTGCATGCAGGTATTGCATTATAATTCGACATTGCTGAACGTCGTGTGGCAAACGGACCTCGGCCTGCATAGTAAGGAACGCCAAATATGCATTTAATGTGAATGCCGAATCGGTGATGTACTTTAGCAACCGGTGATGCATATTCATGATCGATGATCACCGTCAGCTAGTGATGTATATTCACTAGTGGTGATGGGCGTTTCTATCGTTGATGCACTTTCGGAACCGGTGATCAACTCTGTAATCGGTGATTTTTTTTGCGATCGGTGATGGACTTTCGCAATCGTTGGTGGACTTTCGCGACCGGTGATGGTGATTCACTACCGCCGATCAACTTACATAATCGGTGATGGTTTTTTTCGATCGATGATGGGTTTTTGCGATTGTTGGTGGACTTTCGCGATGGCTGGTGTTCTGTCACTACCGATTAATTGTAATCGGTGATGGATTTTTGTGATTTGTGAAGGGCTGTCGTCATTGATGCATTTTCGTGTTTTGGGATTCATTTCTTCTTTATTGGAGGACTTCCGCCAACTTTGCAAACGGTTCTTTCTCCGGAAATCAAAACAGTATAACAAAGGGATAACCCGGATAAAGTACATGTACGTGTGTACAGCTAGATGGACTCAACAACAACATTAAAGCAATCTAAAGGAATAAGTATAATCAACGTTACCATATTAAGCACATGATTCTACATGTACATGTTTATGCAGAACCCTTTCAACTTAAATTGACCAGCATGTCGCTTGCCGTAAAATCTCCTTCTACGGACCTGAACTCAACTGGGCGACTCTGGTCACTTGACCCAAAAACCTTAAAAAAACAAATCCCATGTTTACTCAGCTCTGCATGGTAGGTTTTCTCTCCTAGTCCATGCACATGTACATGTACACTACACAAAATACTCACATGGTCATTCGCCACGTCAGCTACAGCTTCAAACTGTCGGAATTACCGTTTTTGTGACAAGTAATCCAATTTAGTCATACGCAACTACTGCTTATTAAATTAACAACAACAACAACAACAACAACAACAACAACAACAACAACAACAACAACAACAACAACAACAACAACAACAACAACAACAACAACAACAACAACAACAACAACAACAACAACAACAAAAACAACAACAACAACA